ACCTGATCACCAACAGAAAGGGGGGTGGGAGAACGAAGGAAGGAAAGTTCTAAGCCACGGCTCCTAACAGCAGGTGTGTGGTCTCCATCTTACGCAGGGTTAGGCAACAGACCTGGTCAGTTCATGGGGCCAGGGAAGGCGATCCCTGTGCCTAGAGAAATGTAGGCCAGAACAACAGATTTGCAGCTCACTTACAACTTCCAATACTGACCAACAATCAATGTCGATACTAAAAGTGCCAGAAAACTCCAGCCTTGGCCTGGCCCTGTTCAACACATATTCTGAGCACCAGTTTTATGCCAGGTACTTTGCTAAATGCTAGGGACATCATGGGGAACAAGATATAGTCTTTGATCAATTATATAGATAGCAATTGCTAATTAAGTAGTAGATAACCCCAGGCTGGGAATGCCAGCTCAGAGATGAGATGACAGTTTGGCACCCATAGTGCCTTACCTGGTTATACTTCTGGTCTCACCAAGAGGGAACAGCCCTACTCCTCCTTCTTACATCTCAAAAACTCTGGATGTAACACAACAAACAAGCACAGGAAAGCACTGAAAGATAGAAAAAAGAAGGTGGGCAGTCTGGGAACCTGGGCATTTGAGGATTAACAAGAAGTGAGTTTCCTGGGTGCCTTATTGTCTCCTACATACAGGCCAGGGTGCTGCAGAAGCCTCCAACCCCAAACCACAACAGGCATGGACAAATAAAACTCCAAGGAGAGCCTGCTTCCTCCAGCCAAAGGACAGAGGAAGAGTAAGTGTGTAGTAAAGATTCTGACTTGCCCTAACAGAGGTCTGGCCTGGGCCCTACGTTCCTGAGGCGCAATCTCTAATCTAAGCCCTTGAATGCTCTGCCTCACAGGAGTGTCTTTATTTACCTGGGGGCTCTGGGCCACACCAAAAAGTATAACAATGTGATTTATGGGACTTTGGGCCATGCAGTATCAACTCAAACTCTGGAGGGGATAGAGACTGAGGTCAGCTGCACAGACAGTCAACATATCTACATGATGAGCTCCAATAGAGACTCTGGAAACCAAGGCTCAGGGAGCTTCCCTGGCTGACAATACTGCATGAACATGTCACACATTGTTGCTGGGAAAGTAACACTGTCCATGACTGGATTGGAAGAGGACAACTGGAAACTCCATATCTGAAACCCTCCTGGACTCTGCCACTACATCTCTTCCCTTGGCTAATTTTAATCATTTAATCTGTCTCCTTTCTCTATAATAAACCATAACCATGAGTGCAATAGCTTTCAGTGACTTCTAGCAAATCACCAAACCTGAAGGTGGTCTTGGGGATACTTGCACTTGATATTGGTGTCAGAAGTGAGGGGGATCTTGGGACCTGTTTCTTAAACTTCACAGTTTCCCCCTTCTCTTTCCTGGGGATGAAAAACATTAGTCATGCAAACATCAATTTTTTAAAAGTGGGAGTGGCTATATTGATATCAGAGGAAGTACACTTCAGAAGGAAAAAAAATTACTAGAGACAAAGAGGGACATCACATAATGTTTAAAAAATTTAATCTACCAGGACTACATAATAATCCTCAATGTGTATGTACCAAACAATAAAGTCTCAAAATACATAAAGCAAAAATTGATAGAGTTAAAGGGTAAATAGACAAATCCACAATTACAGTTGTAGACTTCAACACTTCACTCTTGATAATTGACAGAACTACTAGACAGAAAATCAGCAAGGATACAGAAGAACTCAATACCAGCAACCAACAAGATCTAACTGACATGCAGAACACTCCACCTAACAACAACACAACACACATTTTTTTCAAAGCATCCACAAAATATTCACCATGGTAGACCAAATCTCAACAAATTAAAAATAATTGAAATCATAGAGTTTTCTGGCCATTATAGAATACAACTAGAAATCAACAAAAGAAAAGGCAATAAGAAAATCTCCAAACACGGGCCGGCTGGTGGCGCACTGCTACAGTGCACTGCTTGGGAGCGCGGCGGTGCTCCCGTTGAGGGTTCGGATCCCACATACAGACCGGTTCCCGCTCACTGACTGAGCGAGGTGCGGGTGCAACACTGAGGGCTGCGATCCCGTTGCCGGTCCCGGTCCGGTACGGGCGCGACACTGAGGGTTGCAATCCGTTGCCGGACACGAAAAAAAAAAAAAGACAAAAAGGGAAAGAAAAAAAAAGAAAATCTCCAAACACTTTGAAATTAAATGACATACTTCTAGATAATCCATGGATTGAATATGTCTCAAAGAAAATTTTAAAAATACATAGAACTGAGTGAAAATGAAAATACAACGTATCAAAAATATATGGGATGCAGTTAAAGTAGTGCTGAGAGTATTAGAAAACAGGAGAGATCTCAAATCAGCAATGTAAGTTCCTACCTCAAGAAACTAGAAAAAGAAGAACAAGATAAACCAAAAGCAAACAGAAGGAAGAAATTAATAAAGAAGAAATCAATGAAATTAAAAACAGGTAAACAATAGAAAAATCAATGAAACAAAAAGTTAGTACTTCAGAAAAAAATGAATAAAATTGATAAACCTCTAATAAGACTGACAAAGATAAAAAGAGAGAAGACACAAATCACCTTTATCAGGAATAAAACAGGAAATAACATAGATCCTCTAGCCACTAAAAGAATAATAAGGGACTACAATGAACAACTTTATGCTCACAAATTTAGCAACTTAGAGGAAAAGGACCAATTTCTTGAAAACCACAAACTACCAAAATGAATAATACTATACTATTAAAGAAACTGAATTTGTAATTTAAAAGCTCTGAAAAAGAGAGCTGGTCTGTTAGCTCACTTGGCTGGAGCATGGTGCTATAACACCAAGGTCAAAGGTTCAGATTCCCTTACCTGCCAGCCACCCGCAAAAAAGCTAGAAAAATGGAAAAAATAATCACCTTTTCATGAAAAGGATTTTCCCGTGATACTTAAGACATATGTTAAACAATGCTTATTAAAAAAAAAAAAAAAAAAAAAAGAAGAAGAAGAAAGAAATTTCCAGGCCCAGATGGTTTCACTGAAGAATTCTATCAAATATTTACACAATAAAAGTATCAATTTTATATAATCTCTTACAGAAAAGAGGGAACATTTCCAATTCATTGCCCTGATACCCAAACCAGACAAAAACAGTTACGAAACAGAGAAAACTACAGGCCAATATTGCTTATGAACTTAGATGCAAAAACCGTCAAAATATTAGCAAGTCAAATCCAGCAATGTATAAAAAGAATTATACCATGACCAAGTGGGATTTATTCTAGGCATGCAAGGATGGTTCAACACTCAAAAGTCAGTCATGTAATCTATCATATCAACAGGCTAAAGAATCAACTCATACAGAAAACGGATTTGACAAAACCCAACATCCATTTATTATAAAAACTCTCAGTAAACTAGGAAAATAGAACTTCCTCAACTAGATAAAAAGCATCTACAAAAAACCCTACAGATAACATCACACTCAATGGTGAAAGACTGAATGCTTTACCATTAAGATTATGAATAAGGCAAGGAAGTCCCTGCAACCCTCGCGAACCCCACCTCCTGCCATCATTAATAGACAACTACTCACCCTACCACTGTCAACTCAGTGATCACTCCCTCAGCAAAGCCTTTCCCAAGTGGGTCAAATCCCCAGATTATGCACTCTTCATTCATCACATCTGTAGTTGTGTACGTGTGTGTGTGTACGTGTGTGTGTGTGTG